TGGCAACAGCAGCAGCAGGAACGTCCGGAGACTTGTTGGTGAGGTTCAGATTGTCAGAAGAAGATTGCTCGGCGCGTTCCTTGCCCTTGCCGATAGACCAGGTGTCTGTGGAGGAGTTTCGGCAGAGAACCAGCGGAGAGGTGGACGGAGCGTCTTCAGGTTCACCTGCCTGCAAAAAGGCACCAGATGATGCATGAGTATCTGATCTGATGAGTGCCTTCGTAAGTTACTTTTTTCCAAGATAACTTCAAAGTAAAAATTAAGAACTTTGACAGTTATTTTAATTTTTTACTGAAAATAAGGTATGTGTTTATGTCCATTTATAGCACAACACATAGGGCACAAAAACAAAGGGGTTGGTTTTGTCCTACTAAACAGCACAGGTGGTTGGCGTGGATATTCGCAAACCTCAGATTTCGCCAAAATCCTACCCGATCTTCCTTCAAGATAAAGAACTGGACACAAATACGCCGTTTCCTCCGATTTTACCGATCCCCTGCAATTTGCATATAAGGCTGGACGTAGTACACGAGACGCTGGCCTCTCGTAGTCCATTCTGCTCTAAGAGACATAGATAAGGCCTTTAATACGATCCCGCACGACTTTCTTCTTCATAAAACTTTTGCATGCGGCTCTCCCGCCGGGGCCGTCTCTTGGGTTGGGGACTATTTCACTTCCCGCACTCCATTCGTTCATTGCGGCAAGCGAAAATCCTCGGTCCTTCCCAACAACTGTGGATTTCACCAAGGGTCTATATAATCCACCCACCTCTTCTCCCTCTACACGACGACCTACGATTGCCAAATGAATATTTGTACGTTAAGTATGCTGATGATATAGTTGTTGACCATCCCCTCAAACGTCAGGTACATCTCCAAGTACTGAAAGGTGGCCTGGACCACGTCTCAGCATGGTCATCAGCAAAGGGCCTTCTACTTAACAACTTAACGTCCAATGTGTTTTTCGATTGCAACCCTCTCCCAGTCCTGAATCCATAGACTTTCTGCCCAGTGAGATATCCTCTTTCTGGTACCTTGGTGTTACTCTGGCATATAACCTATCATTCATATCATATCATTTATATGAAAATCTGTAAACTTTTATATCATAGAAGCCCTAATTTGGCGATCTGCAGATGCCTGCATTCTCCTACAAATTATTTATTGCTCTCCAGTTACTTTTCCAGCCTTATTTAAAAAAGACCTGGTCATCTTTAAACGTATCCTATGAACGGTCTCTTCAGTTACCAGTATTTCCTATGTTTTTTCTTTAAGCTGACATTATAATGGACGACACTTTAAAACGGTCAAGCAATTAGCTGATCGCATCCTTATTGAGGTTGCTCATCCACTTCACTCTGAACTAATGGCTGTGTAGTCTCGCCGTATTATGCGCCAAAATTTCCGACATGTCTTGCCGTACATCGGCATATCAGCTCTCTATAGTCCCATTCCTAGCACGCCACCCCATGTGTAAAGAAACGGAAATTCCGAAGTAGAAAGCCGACCTGTCTCCGTAACGGATGTGGACATCGCGTGAATCTTTAAACTTTGAGTATTCTATGACATTTCACCTTACCTTATCCCTTGCTCTCCGTGAATGGAGCCATTTTGTGTTGAAAATTTGGGGTATTTACCTTCAAAATAAAGCCTATTCCTTTTTTTTTTCTCTCTCTCTCTCTACTGTACAGCGTCAGTTGATGGTTTATAATACCCCAGGTAGACTCAAGACATACCGCGTTGTAGGCTTCCGAAGGAACGACTGCACGTTGTGGTACGGTGTCTTCCTTGTCGTCTACGTGGGCACCACCACCACCAGCGATAAAGGAAGGTGGCGCGTCTTCACTGTCAGACGCGGCATCAGTGGGCAGTGGGGTCGCGGTTTGCGAATCTTCGTCCGTCTCCGCCTTGAAGGACTCTGTCAAAGAGGCAGAGCTGTCCACTGGTCTGAGATGTTTCCCGCCACCTAGGGTGGACAGACAAGTGGAGGGGGTAAGATTAGTTCCGTATGTCTCACAACTACAACTCACGAATAGAAACAAATATGCCCAGGGCAGGTTCTTGTTGTATATAAGAAAAAGACGCAATCACTGGGACAGTAATTGTATTATTCTGAGCTTTCGGCTACACACAAGAGGGCATCTTCAGAGAACATGATAAAACAGTAAGCATTGTCATGTTTTTGTAGTCCAGCTACCAGTAAATACTGTAAATGCGAAGTTTTCCCGTCCCATGCGTCGAGGCTTCCGTCATATGTCTTGCCGCACACCAGCAGATCAGTACGCGGTACTCCCAATTCCTAGCAGCTACCTCACGTGTGAAGAAGCGGAAATTGAGAAGTTGAAATCTGATCTGCCTCCATAGTAGACGTGGATACCGTGTAAAACTTGAGTATTACACGACCTTTTACCTCTTTACATGACTCATTACTTAACCTCCGTGAATGGAGCCATTTTTTTCGCTGAAAATTTATGATGGTTATTCGTAGATAAAGCAAGATTCTCTTCTCTATAAAAGTGGCATTTGTCATTAGTCCATGCTCACGCCGTCATATCGTAGCGCCTCTGCGCGCGTCCTTGGCGTTATGGTGTGCGGCCTTGGCATCGTGTATTGCATCCTTGGCGTGGAAGCGTGCGTGCCTGGACACAAACTGGCGTACGGAGGGCAAAATAACAGGACGGTATACCCACATGCCTACACAAGCCAACATGCGAGTCCCAGGAAGTAATTGAGAAGAAGACGACTCGATAGCTGGGCCCCAAATTCATAAACAAGTGCAACGATTTGCCCAATCGGTGCCCAATGCGGTGCTGAGATTCAATTTG